ATCCAATGTACATCAATAACTTAATTAATTCAGTAATAATTTTTTTAATAAAAATAAAAAATCATTAAATTTAAATTATATGATATGTGGGTATAAAAAATTAAACAATAAGAGAAAATTATCCCTCATTAAAAATCCAAAATAAACAAAAAAAAAAAAAAAAAGAAAAAATCCAATGGGCCTGATATAGGGACGGACTCTCCCCATCTAAGACTACTAATTTCTCAACATGGCGCCCGAGCCGGGGTGTAAAACCACAGACTTTGTATAAATAAAACATCCTAAAATCTCTTTATTAAAAAAAATTATTAAAAGCTAAAAGAAATAATTCAGGAAACCCTGTAAGTCCAGTAAGCCTCCAGGTTTCATCACAAAGCCAACTACTAGAAAACAGCATTCAAACGATAAGAATATACTCGATAGTTAAAAAGTTATCGATTATACTATTATAATCAACAAAAGTTCTGTTAATTATATTAATGAATCGATTATATGAGATATAATCGACAGTCAATTCTGTCCATTATATGAGTATAGTTGACAATTATTATTGGCTATCGATTATACTTGTATAATTGACAGCTAATAGTAACTGTCGATTATGTCAAAATTTTATAAGTATATATGTTAATATTTAACCTTCCACTATTAGCATTTATGATTATTACATATCTTATAAATCATAAATTTGATAATAAAAATTTAACATTATCAAATTTGAGATTATTTTTTTGTAATATTACATATATATAATAACAAAATTAACTATAAATATGTAGTGTTAGAATTGATAATTTAATTAAAGTAGATATATGTATAATATTAGTTAAAAATAATTTCAAATGTGATAGTCTTAAATTTTTATCACTAAATTTATTATTTATGAGATATATAATATTTATAGATATTACTAGTGAAAATTCAAATATTAACATATGTATTTATAAAATTTGTACACTTATAAGCTGTCAATTATCCAACTATATTCAATAGCCAATAATGGCTGTCAATTATACTCATACCGCCTTCCTCACCCAAAAAAGAAAAAAAAAAAACTAAATTTCAAGGTTGATTTAATTTAAAATATAATCGACAACCATTTTAAAACATAATTGATAGAATTTCTATCGAATATATTCTATATATACGGACATAGAAACATAATCAACAAATATCTTCTCATTTTCTCCTACTTCTCCTCTCCTCCTTCCTTTCCCATAGATGTTTCACTGGATTCCCTTCTCCCTCTGTTGTTATCATCATCATCTTCTTCTTCTCCCTTTCATTTTTATTTTTCTTTCTTCTTTCTTCTTCTCCCTTTCCTTATACCTTTCTAATTCTTGCATTGCATGTCTTCATCTTTCCCTCTTTTGTCTACTTTTCTTTCATCATTCCTTCTACTTTTCCAATTTTCATTTTTGGTTGCCATCGTTATACTTTTCCTTCATTTTCTTTCATTCTTTCATCTCAAGCTTTTTATTTTCTTTTAATTATTTATTTTTGGTTATTTTCATTTATCATCCAATTATTTTTATTTGATCTACTAATAATTTTTTTTTATTTTTGTAGATTATTAAGCTTAAAATTATTTTATGAGGTAAATTCACATTTTGATTTATATTTTTCATTTCCTTTTACTTTAATAAAATCTTATAATGTATAACAATGTTTTTTCCTTTCCTTGTATAGATATTTTTATTTTATTATAGGTAAATTACTTATCATTTATCTTATTTTTCCATTAATTCTCCTAATATTTGAATATTATTCTTGTTTTTCAATTATTTTCAAAATTATTTTATATATATTGTTCTTGCACTTGATTGATTTTATCATTAAATTTTGTTTAATGACTTTATAATTTAATTAATAACTACAAAATTAAAATTTTAATTCTACATTTTTTAATTCTAATTTTTTTTATTGCTGGAACAAGTATAATCGACAACAAAAGCTATCGATTATACTAGTGCAATCGACAGCATTTTCTTCGATTATCTTACTACAATCAACAAAAATGTATTTTGTCGATTATACTATTTTATAACCTTGTTTATTTGACAAATATGGTTGTCGATTATACCTATAATCGATAGAATTTCCTCTATAATAGATAGATTTTCTTTTATAATCGATAATATTTTTTGTCGAATATACTTTATTTTCTCGTAGTGAACTGCACTTCGCTATTCTCAGAATCAGTTGGAGCATTCATTCAGAACAATATGCTATGTGGCCCAACATTGGAATGTATTGAAAAATGTGTCGAATAAGAGTATATTAAAAATAACAATATTCAGATCAGAAGGCTGTTAAAGAATTGGAGTCTTCTAAATGTCCCTCTAGGGTTCAATTTTTGGATCTAAAAATGGGATATAAATGATGCTATGGGCAAGCTACTAGGAGAATCAGTTGGAACTGTATTATATGTGTACTTAGACGTGAACAATATGCTATGTGACCCAACATTGCGTGTACGAGTACTGGTTGATGTCCATTAACCAATAAGGAGGGTGGTCAATTGTGCAATTAGAATCCGGACATTAGGCACTAGAAAATAAAAAAGGGGTAATGGTTATCTGGAATATGTTATGGTTTTGTTGTTACCTATTATTTTTTGACGGTTAGTGCTAAAAAAAATAACCTTTTTAATTAGTAGTATTTTCAACCTTTCTAAAGAAACAGAATACCTAAAACAAAACTATCAAGAAAAGAAAAATAGTGCGGTTAGCTAAAGTGAATTTTGTTTTATAGTATGGATTACATTATATTGTAAAATAAGAATCATTAAATGAGGAGACGATTCCAATATCAATGAGTTTAACTCCTTATCTAATAGTTAATATAATGCAAATTGCATTACACTTTTTTCATCACCTAAAAGAAAGTTAATTAAAAAATATATATATTGAGATTCAATTGTATGCACAGCTCCTAGCCCTCTCCTTAACATGGCAAAAAGAAGAAGAGACATAGACGAACATTTGCGATGAATGTGATTAGCTCCTTAATTTAAAAAAATATTTTAAAATTTTTTTGAGATTAAAAAAATCAAAATGTCCTACAATTAAAATGTTAATAATAAGAAAAAAAATTAATATTTTAAATAAATTAATACATAAAAATTTTATTAAAAATATTTAAACAATTTTATTAGAAATCATGACATTGAAATTAACAAGACATTATAATTTTATTTTTTTATTTTTTTTTAATGTTATTAATAGACTTTTCCTGTAGAACCGGCAATCGCACGAATAGGTCTAATACATATGACTAGTTCACCTTCTAAACTTTGACACTTTATCAAGCAATCGTGGTGCCTCTATATTCAAACATTTTTTACTTCCTAAATTTAGAATTTAATTTAATAATTTAATATACTTAGATTGTACTACATCCATTGAATTTAATCAAACACTTCACTTTAGACCATTGGATCTAAATCTCAGTAAATGATTCGTTTGCTTCCCCTCCTTATTCCTAGCTATCATCTTCTCCTTCTATATATAGTTTCATTTCGTCCCTACCAATCCATTCTCGGCCCTCTCCTCTGCATCCAATATCCTTTCTCCTTTTCCAATTATTTTGACTTACTGTATTAGTTTATTTCTTCTCCTAATTTCTGTTCTTCTCTTAGATTTTTTTAACAAAGCTTTTATTACAATCATTTCGTTCTGCCTGCAAAAAATAAATGGCTAATTTTTTGCAGTCCAATTCAAGTTAGACTGCAGAAAATTATGGAAAATACAGAGTAGTACCGAGAAGAGATATAAGAGAAAGATAACCAAATTTCCACCCCCCATCGGTTTCAGTCTCCATAATCTACCATCTGCTCCCTCATTCTACCATATATCATCATTGGAGGTGTGAAGGGGTAGTTGAGCATAGTAGCTTCTTTGAGGCCACCATCGAGATCCAGAGTGTAGAAATGGGTGCCATTTTTTTTTGTCGATGATTAGATTCTGACGGATTCGGCTTCGGATGGATCTATTGAGATGATTATTGACAAACTCTGGACT